AAAAAAAAAAAAAAAAAAGAACACTCTTGCGTACAGCTGCCAATGTTATGTCTGGATGTTTTCTTTTTTTTAGAAATTCTCAGGACACAGGGAGCACATTGAAAAGAACCTGGAAGAAATGAAGAGTAAAATGAAACAGGTACATTTCTCCCCAATGTTTAAAAACAGCAGTTCCAAACCTCAGTCATTTAGTTGGATTAAGGCTGACCTAATTATGAAGCAAACTCTGGACATTATTTAGGAGGTGAAGCCTGCAGGGGCATTAAAGAGGGGATGAGTGATGTTTCCACTTCCAGCTCTCCTTCATTTGTCCTGTTAACTCTCTGCACATATTATGGTAATTTAAACCTTCAGAAGTCAGGTTGCAGGTAACTGTGTATGCTAGACTAGATTTGAATGAGCTAGTTTTATGTTATGGTATAATGACTCTAATAGAACTACTTGAGAGAATAAGGAGACTAAGTTCTTGATTCAGTTTCTGTGACAAGCCTAATTTAAATTTTCTGGGAAATAACAAGATGCTAAAACTTATGTTCTGGTCTTTTCTAGTTGGGAGAGAATGGAAAGACTAAAGCCATTGGAGAACTGGATTTACTGTTTGACTACCTAGAAAATGCCTGTACTGATGCCCCGAAGAAGGGAGGGAACAAGAAGAAAAACTGAAAGAATTTCAGATCAGGCTTGAAGAGATATCTCCAAAAAACTCTTGCTATAACTCAAATTGATTAATTATTGCAGACCACCCTCCCCCTATAGATGCAGTATATTTTTCACTTGTGCCAAAACTAGCAAACTAAGTGGGCGCAGCCAGGACGCATACTGCTGTCTTTGAAAATGAAAACTCCAGGACAGTGTTTGCAGCTCCATTTCAACACAGGGCATTAGTTATTTTCAAAGGCTTGCTCCTGTCCTCCTCATCTCCACAGGAACAAGGAAACTGTTTCTGTATTTTATATACTGAGATCTGATGCCTGTGAATCAGCTTTGGTCAAGGTAGGCAAGTGATACGTAGGCAGGATGTTTGAGCCTTTTACTCAGAAATGTCTCTTGCGTATGTTGCCCCCTTCTGACCTTTACCTGAAAAGCTGGTATTTCAGACTCAAAAATAATTTTTGTCATTCATATTTAATGGTAACTTATTTTAAGATAATAATATACAGTACTTTTATTTATATAGATTAATTCAAAAATATCCAAGGAAATATATTTATGAAGCTGTACCAGAGGATTTAAAATGAACTATGAAATTAAAACGGCTGTGTAATATTTATATGCAAGCGGATTGTTTTATAAACGCTTACTCTTTAATTTATTATAATAAATATTTTGGTCCTCAAATATTTCCATTTACAGTGCTTTTGTCTTTTATTCAAATGCAAGGGAGTTGAGACATATTGTGCCAGCCTGTGGGGCTGCTGGGCCAGTGGCTGTATTCTTGTATCCCGAAAGGATGCAAACTTCAGTCTGGGGACATGCTTCTTCACCATAAGGCTGAAATTTCAACTTATCACGGACCAGGGCTTAGTGGGGTGTGTGTGGGTCAGCCTTTCTTGTGAGGGGTGGTGGGAAAAATAACATCACTCCTCAGAGCCGTTGGTTTGCTCCATTGACTCTGCCTCAGTACACCCATAGACAAGATACTGTCTTTCCTGGTGAAAAGTCCCCAAACTGTCCCCCTGGGTCAGATGAGATGGAGACAGTCAGGCAGCAGTTGTTACTGAAAGCTCAGTAGAGAGTCAGATCAGGGATTTGAGAGCACTTCAGAAGAGAAGTGCTTGGTGCCTACTCTCTATACAAGCTCCCAGAGAGAAAAAAATATCAAGCCACTGAAAAGCAGTTTAATCCATCATTATCATGTCCTTCAGCAGTGTCCACTGGGCAAAAAGAGAGGAGTTGCTCTGGTGCAGCCAGGGACACTGGTGGCTGGAACAAGGTTAAAGAGATGAAAAGGATCCAAATAGTGAGAAAATCAGAGGAAATATGTAATAGCGGATTGTCAGCAATGGTGAAAACTTCTTGAGCAAGGCTTCACTATTTATTCATTAGGGCAACAGGAATCCTGTCCGTATATGAGAAAAACTTTGCACCATTGATGTCCTCAAATAAAGGACTCAGGGTGGCAGTGCAGATAAGGGGGGTGAAGTTTTGCAAACACTGTCTACCAGGGACATAAAAATGTTTGCTAAAAGGACATCTAGAAGACAGCCCAGGAACAGATACTGTAATATGGGAAAAACGTTGGCAGGAAATCTAGCTTGATTTACCTAGCTTCATCAATTAAATTCTAAGAGAAATCAAAGCTAATCCAAAAGTAGTTAGTCTCAACATGCTTTACATCAGCTGTTGAAGTGAGATGGCATTGAAGTGGGATTCAACTATCCCATGTTGCTCCTGAAGCAGAGTGATTTCAAGACAATAACTTCCATCCATACCTAATTTGAACAAGGTTTATGTGAACTGAAATGATAACACTTTTTCTGTGGGAACTATATGCCAGCCTATTCTAGACAGGCATATGAACCATCTGGGTGATAGATGCCTGTTACCTGTCAAACTAAATGCAATCAACATGGTTTACTTTGCCACACGCCCTCATTTGCATCTCACAGCCTATGAATTGCCTGCTTGTTCACAGTCAAAGCAGAAGCCACCCGACAGTGACATCCAGCCAGGCTTTGGTACCACATTATAGCGTTGGGGTTTAACCTTTTACTGTATTCAGTAGGATATTTATTTTCTTTCTTGTGAGATAAGCAACAATGTTTTCAAAAGCTATTGGCTGACATCCTTTCTCTTATCACTCGAATCTGTGACAGCTGACTTTGCTGGGAAGCGAAGTTAAGCAACAAATGGGGAATTCATCTCACTGACATTTGACAGACACGGTCTATCCCCAGGCTAGATCCAGCTCCCTTAAAGTCAATGGAGGACAGTAGGAATTATCCAGGAGTCATTCATCTGATCTACATTAGAGGTTTACAAAGATTGTGCCTTTGGACCTAATGACATGACTTTGCCCTAAAAGTACCTGTTTTCTTCCTTGATTATGGAGACTACACACTAGAACAAATGTTGTCCCTTGTTGATATAATCTCTTCACAAATGGATAATTAACTTTTTCCCTTCTTCTACTTGCTTTAGACTCCTTACACATGAACTTCTTGAGCTATCCTACCTAGAAATGTCAAGTCAGTCTCTCAAGCTTTTTACGCTGGGCCTAAACCCAGATGAAAACCCATTTGTCCACAAAAATGTAAAAATGAGGTCAACTATTTATTAATTTCTCCAACCATGAAAACCAAGAGCTGAAAGACTCTGTTGTGGAAACCTCATGAGCTGGAGGCCTGGAAATGCCACACAGCAGATTTTGCAAAATTTCCGTCATAGGTTTTCTAGCAGGGCACGTGTGACTTGTGAGTGTGTGAAGAATGGCAGGTGATGGTCAATTTTGAACAGATGAAAGAAGTAGAAGTTGGGGAAATGTCTGGGACAAACAATTACTGACTAAAGAAAATAAAGATATACTTTCAGTCAGGCAAGCCAAGTTTCAATTCAGCCAGTAGTTAGAGCTCCAAAAAGGGAAATCATGCCAAATGTTTCATTCTGACATATTCTAAATAAAAATATTTCAGTTTTATGCTTCAAAATAGTGTTTTGGTTTAAAATTTCAAGTACATTTTCTTTCAAAGGTAGAAAAGAGATTTGAAAGCAAAATAAGCTGTTTCATTTTGAGTTTGACAAGAGCTTTGGGCTGACCCAAAATGAATTTTTTTAGTTTAATGTTTCGGTTGGGTCACCAAAGAGAAACTCTGTTGTTCACACAATTCTAATTTCCGTTGCCCTATTTTCCTTTCCTCACCATGCCTCCAAGTCATGGACTATTTGTAATTCCCAGAGGTCCTTGGCCTAGCACTGTTGCAGAAGACACCTGCTCCACATCCTTCATCAAAGACACCTCCATTTTAGGGTCTGGAAGACCTCTTCCCAAACAAAAATTCACAGAGCCACCTACTGCCAAATTTTTGTTTTGTGTTCTCTTCCTCCCCTTTGCTTACATTAGGTGACCAGAACAGGCACTTTTTTTGCTACATAGTTAATTATAATACATTTAAACTACCTCTGAAACTTCGTATTGTGAAGACAGAGGAACCCAAAGCACGAATAGAAGTTTCCACATCCTGCTGAGTAAGTATTGGTGACAGTTGAAGAAACGTCTCTTAAATACATTGCTTGGAGTGTTGCTCAGTTATGAGATTTACATATTCAATGTCTGACTACATACTTCTTAAGTGACCTAGAATAAAAGCTTGATATTTCCAATTTGCTGATGGAAGTGTATTGTAGACAATGTGAAGTGCTGAAGCTATCCTGAGGGTAACCCAGCCACATGTGTTTTATGTCAGCCAGTGCTTTAAAGCACAATTAGCTAAACAATTAGCTGCTTGAAGAAGGTATGGACTACATTGAACAACAGTGAAGGCCTGATGGCCTTTTCAGTCACAGCCATCATCAGTACTCAATGGCTGTTTGTGAAATTGGTGTAGTCTGGAGCAGAACTGGCCTGCTAATGTGAAGCAGGACTGGCAGAGATACTGCAATCTCAGGTTTATGAATGACACTGACAAGATAATGACCATGGAAAGAAGGAAAACCTACAATGCAGCTCTGTGGGACCTGAGGAGTCCATTGCCCAATGAGATGTTACATATTTGGAGTGCAACCTCTCACCAGATCCAGACCAGTATTCTATGCTGTTCAAGAATTCTTAGGAAGTTTGGGTAAGGTAAGTTACAAAATGCAAACTACACTAAGACTGATGGCATTTCTAGGGCTTCTTAACACGTATCTATTTGTAACCTTTTTCTTGGTTAACACACAGCTGCAGACCTTATCAGATGAACGGTATGAATTTCACCACTAGCAAAAGTGTTAAAGAACTATGTAAGTGAAAAGATTTCGTCTGAAGTCTAGGAAATCACTCTTTCTGTTTTACCTTTAGATTTCAAATCCCTGGCCAAATTAACAGATAATATTTGCTATAATTTAATCTGGGTTTCACTGATTAATTGTTTAGAAAAGAAGATATTCCTACATCTTTCCTCTTCTAAGGAGAAATAAAAAAAACATTTATTTTGAGAAGAAGTGTCCATTTACCTTCAGAAAATTAAGTCAGGAGACCAAAATGTAAACTTTTTTGAGTACGAAGGATTAAAGCATAGCATTAAATATTTCCAAGATCAGGCTATTTTTCTTCTCTAGGATTGAATAAAGAGAAAGGACAAATCTTCTAAACTAAAAACATTTTCTGTTTTGCTCAGAGCAACATGAATATTGAAAAAATGGACTGCAAAATGTGGTTTTGACTAGCTGACTTGAAACTCTGTTATGATTGTTTCTGCAAGAACCAGTAAGATTCCCTAATGGAAATTGTAACCCTGGTTTCAAACAACTGAATGCAAAATGATATTGCATTCCAAAAGCTGCAAAATTGCACTGATTTAAGGTTTATTTTGTCCTATAGTTTTCCAAAAGAGGGTCACTTCCAACTCCTATAGCACATTTAAGGAGTGGTGATGATGTTCATTAATTGTGGGAAAAATGGGGCAATCCTCTAACAGTGGTAAAGTCTAAAAGCTATGCAATTGTGAAGATTGACTTTCTGATTTGTCTTTTGCGTTAGACCTTGACATGTAAGGGTTCTCCAATGGATTAGCTCATCATGTATCAGTCCTCCACAGAAGACAGAAAGAAAACTCCTATCAACTTCAAAGTGTATAAGATCAGGCTTGTAGTTTGTACATGTGTCAAGTTAATTGTATTACAAAAAAAAGATGAAAGATTTCAACACAGATGTTAAGATGGAAGTG